CTCTCTCTCTCTCTCTCTCTCTCTCTCTCTCTCTCTCTCTCTCCCCCTCGCTCTCACTCTCTTCATGTTGGTGCTTGAAGCACTGCATCCGTCAGTTTCATGTTGTCCGCGTTCTCCGGTGCGTACAGCAGTGTACACTCCTTCACATCGTGGTGGTTTGCAGCGATCAACCGATGACACCTACCTGGGTTAATACAATACTTGCGGCGCCGGAGATCCAGCCAGCCCCGAAGTCCACCAACCCTTCAGCCATCCTCCTCCCGTTGCACCCCTGCTGTTGCTGTGCGATGAGCGGCAAATGCGGTGTGGGTTGCGTTGGTACGCAGCTGTAATGCTGTCACACTTCGGACGGAACTCACCGTTCCGTCGAACCCTTTCCTTTTATTTTTTGTTTCTTCCTTTCCAACAGTCCCGCGCACTGAAAATCTATAGTCTATACCTTTACGTTCCATACCTGCACAGCAGCAGTTCGGCAGCACACCCATTTTTCCGAGAGCGACAGACCGAGTTCGGAGTCATGCCCCCCTTCAATTTGCGAGCGCTCGGTCGTGCAGCAGGTGTTGCGCGTCGCCGCGAGCTCGTTCGGTTAGCGCCGCCACGCACGCAAGCGAGACAGCATCATCCCTCTGTGAGTCAAACAACAAGAGACATTATCTTGATGTTGACTCTCCCATGCATGCGCCAATCACGGATCTGCTGCTGCTGCTGCTGCCTACTGCAGCACTCCACGCGTCTCCTTGGCTAGGGATGAAGCGGCCTGATTTTGGTTGGATTAGATCTCGCCTAGATTTCTTGGAGTGGCTTGCCAGCACAACCTGCTGCTGCGCATGATGGGCACGATGCACGGCGGAACGTAAACCTCGGCCATTTGCGTCAATTTGCTAAAGATCCCAGAACCCAAAAGGCCCCGCGGTGCGTGCTGAATTTTACTGTTATCGCGAGAAGGGTCCAGCTGTCCCTTTCCCTCGTCAACGGTGCTAACGTCGGAGTTTGGTATGGTACTCACGAGAGCTTTATAGCTACAGCAGTTTATTTCGCTTTCACCCGCAAATTTCGTAAATTTTTCACCCCACGGGGATTCGAACTCACTACCTCTGCGACTACTAGCGGATTACGAGTAGACACACCTAGCAGACACAGCTCCTGTTCTGTTTTTCGTTGCAATAACAAACGATTTTCGTCCTTATGATACAGCGGCAGCACACACTAGTGCCGTGAGTACAGCCTTCCGACATACAGCAGTGCCATACCCAGTACAGCAGCGGCTACGGTTCAACATACGTAGATGTGGTAGATCCTCACCTCCTTCAACCCTAACCTTGCCAGAAAACATGCAAACCATGCAGTCGACGTACACGCATGGTATGTATTGTGACCTGTTGGTGCCCACTTACAACAGAACTCCTTGTTTTGTTCATCAGTTTCAAGAGCGTGTACCACTGATTTGTGGTACGATAAGCCTACAGCAGTCTTATGCATACGTGAAATCACAGACCATGTGCAGTAGGGGGCCCGATTTAAGGCGGTGTGAAAAAGGCGGTATAACCGACATAAGGCAGTCGAAATTTGCGCCCACAACTCAGACCCGGCCGGTAGAAGGAGGTGAAAGGCGGTATCTTCCTATCTCAAACCCGATACAAGGCGGTGATCATCTTCGCGTCAGTACACCCTCTGGGAAGCATCTGAGCGAGTGCACGTACATCGCCCGGATCTTAACAGTTTCACGTTGCACAGCTAAACCCGTGTGCCACCCGGACATGAGAATATTCTTGTAGACGGATGTAGAAATTTCAAGGCTCCTCTTGGTACCGATTCTCTCTAGTAACGATTGGTACGGGAACCATGGACCACCGTAATCCACGTATTTTTTGGATGGAAACTGGTCATCACGGTAGTTTCTTACGGTAACCAACAACCGCGGTAGTATTGCACGGACGTGATTACTAGGGTGGTGATATCTGGCCACCACGGCAGGCATTGTTTCTTTATGGGAACCGGTCACCACGGTAAGTCACCGAAATATTTGCGTGGCACAGTAACTGGCCACCACGTAATGCACGGAAACGTTGGATAGTAACGCCCCACGGTGATGCACCGTAATTGTGTTGGATGGGAATGGGAGAAGGCTATTTACTTGATAATGGTTTCGGCGCTAACTGCGGATTATCACGGTAAGAACTATTCCCGTGCAGTTCCCGCGGGACTTTTCCCGCGGAAAAAAATATCTTTGGGAGGTTGTCTTATGTCGAGCAAGTTTGTTGCAAAGAGGGGCATGTGTTTTCAGAGATACAAGCGCCGGGGGAAGTATGTAGTGCTTAACCCGTACCCGGGAACCAAGCGCCATGGAACCAGAATACATGTGTTTCTTCGGTACCAAAATAGATTTTCAACCATTGCATGGTGGGTCCATGTGGGCTGTTAAGGTTTGCTCTTCACCAAGGTAACAGAGTCGTTGTTCCTCGCATTGGCACCCAAGAGCATGTAGCATGTACGATGGCTTGTACTGGCATCGGATATGCCGCTGCTGAAAATATTACGTTCGCACACATGTCAATCAATGGTACAGACATGTATGTGTCAATACATGGTGCACGTGACCATCTTCTTCTACACAACAACGCGCCGTGAGGTGATAACCGATGTAAACCTCTGTATTTTGCCCTGAATAAAGCGGCTGCCCGATATAAGGCGGTTATATTCACCACGCACACCACCGCCTTATGTCGGGCCTCCTACTGTAGTCTAGACTACCCGTTCAAGATAGTACATGTGTTCCAATCGAAGGATGTGTTGAGCTCCATACAGCGCAGTCTACTGCTGTAGTCTAGAGAGTATGGCAACTCTGGGTGAGCGGAAGTCCGGAGTGTGGTGGGTATGACCTGCCCCCAGAGACTGGCTTATTTCCTTTGGTGCAAAGTGGCGAGGAATGCCAAGCGTGACCGAGCGCACTCAGTCAAGCTACGATAGGGTGGGGCAGATAGCGGGCAAGCCTTCCTGGACTCATTTTCCCAGCCTCCCAGAAGTTCATCAACAATTCGCACTTATTGGGAATGAGATATAACGAACCCTAGGACCCTTGGGAAGCACCTGATCTGCAGTATTTTCGCAGATCTCTCAGGCCTTACTCATTATATACGTGTGCCTGCGCTTCATGAATCTCTGTATCCTGACCTCCACATGAGTGCTGAGAAAACTGCTACGTCAAGAAAAAATTGGTGATTGATACCGCCCGGTACACCTCAGGACACTACACGATAGAAAAATGTTCTATTAATACAAATACCTGGTACCAGGTGAATTGCAATCTCTCTTTATCATGCATATGTGTCCGGCGCAGTTTCGGACAAGACAACCACTAGACTAAAACAGCAGTAATGGTCCCGATATACCACAAGGAAGGGTGTAGTGTACAATAATGACGGAAACATCACGACGGTATAGCATATCGGGACACCTATTGAGTCTTGGGGGATATATTCGTAGCTTGAAGTATGGTAGCCAAAACTCGTGACGAGCGAATATTACCGCGCGCTATACATTGTATCGGAACCCGCACAACTCGGGACCGCTGCTATCGGGAGCACCACTGCTATCTCTCGTTTTATTAGTAGCCCTCTCGCGATACTTCAACTGACGGTGGCGAACGCGATGACAACCGAAACGAACATGTGAAAGCCTTTCGACGATGATGGCGACTCGAACGCGACCAAGTGGAAGAAGACACAAGGTTGGCGAGCGGCCCAGGCTGAGAGGGACCTGCCGACAACGGCCCACGACAAAGAGGTGTGGCACAAAATTGCGGCTGTGGTGTATTTCAAAATGCTTCTGTGGGTTATTCAGGAAATAACCTCGACAGCTCCTGGGAATCCGACTATCGGCATTTTGAACAGTTTCCACGGACAAGGATGTGCTGCTCTTCCAGCGTTCCTGCCCGGTATGGCTTACGGTTTGGCCAATCAGAAGGCTGCCATGTCGCGATCCTCGTCATGACTCGTTGTGACTGCTGTCCTTGGCAGCAGTATTATGCAAGAAACAAACCGCGACCTGTACAATTCATTATGAAACCACCATTGTTTTTACTGTCCGGCGAAGGCGTGATAATGTAACGGTGTAATTGGCTGGGCAGGTGGAAAAGGGGCTCGAGCATGGCTTGCCCGGGGCCAGCTCCATCGTGGACAGGACCATCCCCACGTTTAGCAGAGGCGAGCTGCCTCACTTCGCGGGCATAAATACCTTCATGAAGGTAAATTAAGAACCAATCGACTTTCATTGGTATCCCCTCCTGTCGCGATGAGTGTCGAGCTCTTTCCGGGTACAGAGGCGATGGGTTCTCTGATCCCAACCGATAGCACCAACCATATCTGGTATAAGTCTAGATGTAATGACCCAGTTGTTTTTCTTCTATTTCATTAACATAAATTTGGGCTGCTTTCACGAACCAACCCCTGGTTGCCGACAATCTCGTGATTATGTGGACAGGCTCCCTTCCTGGACGATATTCGCGACGTGGGCACCTACGACGTCGCCGTCTTGGGCGTGCCCTTCGATGGCGGGACCACCTACCGCCCAGGCACTCGCTTCGGCCCACAGGGTATCCGACGCATCTCGGCCCTATGTGCGTGCAAGAGCTGTTTGGTGGACTTGATGCATCGCGTTTCCTCCTCAGCGCGCTTTGTCGTAGTGTAGCAGCCGTGCCTCATCATCGTGAACGAACACGCTGTTGGTGCTGGGGTAAGCCGTGACCTTGGTCTAGCATTCGCGACGTCCGGTGGGCGTGCATCCCACGTACTCTCCCCGTTCGCGTGGAAGATCTTGCTGCCTTCCCACCCATTCGGGTAGCGACCAACCCCTTGAACGGCAAACCCTTAAGCTAGACCCCCGACGCGTTGTGCCTCAGTGTTTGGTACGGTGCACGCGTTCACACCCAAACCTCGGAACGCCCTACATCTCGCGTGGCAGACACCCCGTACAACTACGAGACCGGGGTAGACCTCCGCGAACAGATGACCATGTGCGACGTCGGAGACGTGTTCACGATCCCGGCCAACATCGAGAAGACCTTCGACCAGATCTCCAACGCCGTTGCCTACGTCTCCGCTTCGGGGGCAATGCCGATCATCATGGGGGGGGACCACTCCATCGGCTTCCCCACCGTACGCGGGTGAGAGTGGAAACACTACGCCAGGGAGAAGATTACTCGCGTTAGGTTTCGACTAAATCATTGGGGTAAGGGTGATGGACCTGGGTCCTGGGTAGGGGCTAGGCGTCTAGCGATACCCGTCAAGGTGAGATTTTCGCGTGATTTACCATGCCTTGCGCCGGCGAGCCTCTCTCGAGCCGTTTAAACTGTAGCAGATGGACGAGTGTTTCGTAGCTCGGCAAGGGAAAGTTTATGTGGGCTGCTCATCACGTTGTTCCTAACCTCAGGTACGGGCCGGGGACTTGGTTGGAATGGAGCATCCAGGCTCGAGGCTTCGTGGACTGCAAGCCTAATCGCCACGTCTGCCGCACGACATTTGATCCTGTAGCGGTGACAACCTTCTTGTCGATAATAATGAGTTTTGCCGTTTCATGGCTTTTTTCGTCCCTCCCCTCCAGTCTAGGAATCGCCGCAAGCTTGCCCTGTACGGAATCGGCATCATCCGTTGCCCTCTGATGTCTTTCCGCGCATGTCCATACAGAACCCAACTCCAAGCCTGAAAAAAATAACTATCCTGAAGCCATGTTTTCTCTATCTCCGATTGTGTCCCAATGTAACCCTCAGGATTGCGTCCGTGACCTCAAAGAACATCGGCATCATCCACGTCGACCGCCACGCCGACATCCAGGAAAAGGACCTGGACGAAAGGATGCACACCACGCCCTACTTCCACGCGACTAACATCCCTAACGTGCCTGCGAAAAACCTCGTTCAGATCGGCATCGGCGGCTGGCAGGTATAAAGGTTGATTAGTTGCGCTGACAAGACGTGTACGGTGGATAGGTATGTAGATGATGCATCCGCGGAGTAAGTTGCCTCGCAAGACACGGAAGGGTTGGAGAACGAGGTGCCCACGGTGCTAGGACATGACGTAATGTTCCCCGGCCGCAAGCACTGTCTGAACGTTGTTTCTTGCATCTTCGTGTATTTGTGTTTTCTTGACGTTTGCTTCCTCCGCTGCCGCAATCCACCACCCACGACAACAAACAAACCAACAACAGGTTCCGCGCGCTTCTTTGAAGAACATGCGCGACCGGCAGACGAACATCTTCACCATGCAGGTACAAGTCGATACCGTCAATACTACTGTCCTCCAAATATGTTTGTCGCAAGGAACGACGGTGTTGCTGTGGTAACAAAGATGGCGTCAAGAGACGACGTACGTACACTACGGGGTGGTGATAGCCTACTTCCACCATAACTGCGAGTAGAACAATGGTCGAGTGTGGTTGCCTTTCAAGGACAAAGAGGGCTGTTTTATTCGTGCGCCGAAACTACGACGAGGTTATTGCCTCATAATTCAGCATGTCTGCCTAGTCCCGGAAAAGCTAAGCAGATGACAAACATCATCCAGTCTCCAGTCTCCATGTCTCAGAATGATCCAAGGTTGACCGGCAGCACACGCAAGAACGTGAGCAAAGGGGTTTCGTTGGTGTGGGGACTGACGGAGCCGTTGTACCTATCGTGACGCCACGTGTCGTCATGAACAACCTTGACAGGATCTCGAGGACTTCGGCATGGACAAGGTCATCGAGATGGCGCTCGAAGCGGCTTGGGACGGCTGCGACGCAGTCTACATGTCCTGTGAGATTTTTTTTTTTACTTGTTTCCTCTAGCGCAAGGGTCAACCCTATCCTATGCCCACCTCCTACCGGAAGGGGACGGCCGCACCGCCGTTTGCTCATCCTGCGCGCTGATCCTACCCTCGCCTTGCCTTGACCCTCAGCCTAACCTCTGGTAACACAGGACAGCTGCAACTCCGCGTGACAGGTCCTGTAAAATGGTCGCATTGTTGCAAGCTGCAACGGAAATGCCAAAGAGCAAGTCGGTCCTTGTGCGCATCATGCACCATTGATAATACTGGGCTGCTCAAACGTTTGACAGGGCCGCGCCGCAAACCGTAGCCGGTCACGGAATTCGCGCACGTAGTTAGCCGTTGCGTTCGTCTTGACCCCATCTCGCGTACGCCTTTTTCAGCCGTTCCCTTCGTGTCGTCCCCGTCGTGTGTCGCAGATGACATCGATTCCTTGGACGCGGCCTTCGTGCCCGGTACCGGTTGGCCGGAGCCTGGGGGGCTGCTCCCCCGGGAGGCGCACAAGTTGGTAGGAGGCGTTGCCAAGGAGGGACTATGTGGCATGGAGCTCGTCGAGGTGATGCGTTAGATTGTGTTGTAGGTGCATGTTAGGCCCGGAGCCCTCTCTGCGTTTGGTGGAAAAAAGCGCGTTCATGTTCTTTAGCTTCTTTATGTCGCGCCCACTGCATTACTGAGGAGCGTCGAGCACAATTGGCGGTGCAACATCTACATGTATGTAGAAGCGGTCCAAGAGATTCCCGCTGCTTGCTAAATAGTGTGGTGTAAGCGTAGCGGGAGAAAATTGCCCACATTCCACCTGAAAAACGGGTCCCGCCTTGCGAGCAGTCGTGTGCCCCCCCTCCCCCAGAAAATGAAGCTCTGGCTAAAGAACTCTCCACCGCCTTAACTCCCTCGTGGTGTACGCAACCGTGACCAACCCCGCCACACCTCCTTGCTGCCTGTGATTGTAACTTGCTCGGTGACAGGTTAGCCCCCCGTACGACGTTTCGGACACCACGTCGCTACAGGCCTTGCGGCTGATCGTGGAGACAATGGGGTCGCTCGTCTCGCACGACAAGATGGGGTCCCACAAGGACATCATCGACAAGGAGTTCACACCCTTTTAAGTCTCTTTTCGATTTTTTCGCACGTCGTCGAAGGGATCCTCGTCACATTTTCAGCAGTATTTCTCTTTCAATTGTTCAAACCATTGTTGTATCGTGGTCGCTGAGCAAGCTCCTGGTAGGATCGTAACCTCTTGGCATGTTTATAGGGGGTACATAAGGGGTACTGCTACCTACGCGCTTTTCGCGATTAAATTGAAGGAGGGCACCGCCACGTATTAATTGTATGGGCATTGTATCTTCTCAACAGACATTGCACCACCGCGAGGCAGGAGGCAGCACTGCTGTGTCGTGCTCCAAACGTTGGTTCCTACCGATTTGCTGAGAACAAAGACGTAAAATGGTGTATCGTGTTGTTTCAACGACATTGGCAGAGACCCCCTGTATTTGTTGCCGATGTCTACATGACATCAGGTTCGAAAAAAGTACAATATGTGTTTGGACGAAGTATCAGATAAAGTGGGTGGGATGGGGGGCAGTGACGTTGGTGTAGGCGGTGACGGAGGACGCTAAGTGTCGCTGAATTGAATGTAGTAGTGTTTTTTTCTCGCTGCAGCAGCAACAGCAGCCACCACAGATAGTGGGGGCCCATGCCACAACAATGGGAACAATGGCAGCGGCGCTTTCGGCTTTTACCGTCGCTGTGTCGCGTGCTTGCGTTGGGAACGTTTCCGCCAAAGATAAAAGAAAACGCGATGATTCGATGCCACGACCATTAGACAGTTCCGGCGAATTGACAAGCAACATTGACGAGGCCGTGTGCGGTAGCGTGATTCCCGGAGGTGCAGTGCAAACCTACCTGCGTAGAAAGCGGTTCGATCGAATCCTGGTTTACATTCTGCCTCTTCTTCGCCTTCCATGCAAGCGACATGCGCCCCCTACCCGTTTTGCACCTTACCAACGTCGAGCATCCGTAATCATCCCTATGATGTTGCTCAGAGTAGTTGGTGCAGGCATGTGTACTCACGGTACAAGAACTACTACTGCTGAGTGGCGATAAACTTGCCCAAAGTTAAAGTCAAAACAATAAAACTGCTGTCATCAAATGCCCTCCAACATGCTGTACAACACCTTCCACACCGTACTCAAGTTACGGTGGGCGGGCTCCACCGCCCTACGTACACCTGGACGACGTAAAGCCCTACATATTCCGAACACCAACTTTAACACGCTTACAACTAGGACACACGAAAACTCACAACACTCCCCACCAAACGTACTGTCGTATCAAGCTACACTCGCTGTCAATTACGGAGAGCGAACGACAGCAACCTTTCTACATATCGGGCCCCCCTGTGTGATGCCCACAACACATCATACATCAAGAGGGTAGTACAGAACACTAAAAACTACATTCAGCAGTCTGGCACGAGGCGAGAGAGGTGGCTAGCAAAAAGTCAAGGCCTCGAAACGATAGCTGCTTGATTTCGACTCTTGGTAAAAAACTATCCAGCAACAAAGCAAGGTTTCTCTCTCCGTCAGCCTTCTGGTGCCGCGGACGCCGGAGACGAAGCCGATGATGACAGACCCAACGCTTCCTGTTGTTCAGAATGGCCGAGGTAAGGCGTTTGTGTAATGGGCGATAAATCCACAGCTTAGCACATCCATAACTAGGGCACAGCAACCGCCACCGAACACGCTTCAACATTGGTCAATTTGGCAGCGAGTACACGGCCATTCGGTGGACTATCAGCGATTTCCGTGATAACGATCATCTTCCCCTCGGGAGCTTTGACGCGTACTTCAGAGGTTGCCTTGTTCTGAACCCCGTGTGACTCTGGCTTTCAGCAGCCGGACGCCTGACGGGGCAGTGGGCAACCTCGTCCAACGTCGGCGACTAGGTCGTGCCTTTAGTCAAGTTTGGTCGGGGACTTACGTTTTTGGACCAAGTACATTTACAGCTTGTACGTCATGGGTATACACTGCTCGACGACTCCTGCGTTCAGGACGAAGGTATTTATCACAGGAGAGCCCTTCTTCATTGCTCCGGATCGAACCCCCCCGCTTGCGAAGCCAGGTAACATAACGGAGGACAGAGTGCAGGCAACAAGTGCAGGGAACGTTGTGTGGACTCACCTGTAGCGACATGTCCTGCAGGCGAGACGAGATGTCTTCGTTCTGCGCCCTCACTGACGACATGAGGGTGTTACCACCTCCTGCGTCAGCTTCGCCCGTTGCAGCCGCCATCACATGGTCGCCGTCGTATCCATCAGAACCACTCACCACATCCCCATGACCTGCAGCAATACTACCAGCCTCATCTCCCGCCTCCACGCTACCCCCAACCCCGTGTCTTCGCCCGCCCTCGTCGTCTTCCGCACTCGCATCGCCGTCACCTTCGCGATTATCTACAGCGCCCAGGGCCAGCATGAGCTCCCTGAGGTTTTCCTTTTCCGCTTCGGTATCGTCCGTGTCGCTGCCCGCCGCCCGCCCGTACCCGCTTGCACGAGCAACAGCTGTTCTTCTAGCCCTGCCACTAGCTGCTTCTGTGGAGGGTGCTGCTGCTGTTGCTGCGGCTGCTACGGGCAAAGTATCGCCAGGTGCGGCCGTTGATGACGCTTGCGAAGAGTTTTGTCGTACCGGGGTAGATCCAGGAGCACGCACCGCGATTGGTGGCGCCAGGCGGGACTGCTTCCTCGTCTCGTCCCCCCTCCGAGACTCTACCTTATGGGGCGGTGTTCTTCCCCCTCCTCCCCCTCCTCCTCCTCCTCCTCCGCCCCTGAACCCGAAACGACCCCCCTTTGCGTTCGTCCCAGGGGATGCTTCCAAGCCGAGCCCGAGGTCGCCCCTGACGATGCTGCTGTCGCTACCGCTCCTGGCATGCGCCGCCGCCGCCGCCGCGCCACGACCGACCCCGTCCTGCGGCGAGGAAGAAGACGAGGCCGTAATCTCGGGCGAGGCGTCCACAGAGCAGCCGTTCTGGTCGGACGTGTCTTCCCCCTCGCTCGTGGGGGCAACGCTGCTGCTACCGTCCGTCCCGAACCTACTCAGCAGGGCCTCCCGCCTGCCAAGCGACTGCCGGAGGGTGTGGTCCGCTCCGGCCAGCCTCGCCTGGAGCCGGGCGAGGAACGAGTCTGCGGGGACCGGCCGGTGGGCCTGGCCCAACTGGCCTCCTCTGCCTGTTCCAGCCAATGGAGGAGACCCCAGGGAGGAGAGGGACGGGCTACTGATTGGTGATCGGCCTCCTGCTGCTGCTGCTGCAGCTGCCGCCGCTGTTGAGTCTGCTGCTGCTGTTGCTGCTGCCCCGCTCGATCTCCGGCTTATTGGCTTGGCGGCACCAGGCGACGAATCTTCGTCGGAAGAGGAACCCCCGCGGGCTTCATCCGCCCCCTGCCGCCCCCCTCCACCCCCTTGGAGTCGTCGCCGTAGGCTCTCCACCGTCGGAGTACTCGCACCACGCCGGGCGTCGCTGCTGCCCCGGCCACGACCACTGCTTCGCCGAGTCGGCCTTGGGGGCTCCGCATCACCGCCTCGTCGACGCTGAGAAACGCGCGGGGACAAGCCGTTCCTGTCTAACACCTCTGGGGGCTCCTCCGCCCTGCTGACGGCCGAATCATCATCTCCGTTCAGAGCCTCGGGTTCGGGTAGTGCGGAGCGCAGCGAAGATTGGTCTCCTGGCCCGCCCAAACCCGCCTTTGCGAGATCCGATATGCTGACCAATTCCGACCCCAGCCGGCGTCCGGCTTGGGTTGTAGGTCGTGCGGATTGTTCCATTCGGGCCACCGGCGTCTCCGGCGCTTCTTGGACCAAGGGGGCAGCGGGCCCTATCCGGTGGTCAAGCGGCACCTCTGCCCTTGATGGACGCGGCGAGAAAGCCTTCGTCTCCTCTGCAGCGGCAGCAGCACCGCTACCACTCTCGGTGGGAATAGCTTGCCCCATACTTGCTGGGTCAGCACGACCCTGCCTTTCCGCCACCCCGGCGGACGTCGGGGGACTCCCCGCCGCCATGACCGTACCCGTGGTTGCAACCGGCGTGCTCAACGCGTGGTGGCCGGTTTCCGCGGAACCAACGTTATCGTGCGTGCTTGTTAAACCCGCCGGTTTTTCTCCGAACCCGGCAGCACTGACCGCGGCAGCGGCCTGAGACTTGACCCCCGAAACACCCGCGCTTTGATTCTCGTCGTTTCTCCCTCCCTCCGCATCTCCCGGGCAACCTGCCAGGCCCCTACGAGCGACCGCCTCGTCCTCTCTCCGAGTACGCGACCGTTCCGTCGCAAGCCTTCCCCTCTCGGCTGCCAGCAGGCTCCTTTCCGCCGCCAGTCCCCCTTTCTCGGCGTCCAGCCGGGTTTTCTCCCGCTCCAACGCGACCCTCAGCCTCGCCGCGTCTCTAGTCGCGTCCGAGGCGGCTTGTCGCTCCGCCTGTGCCCGGGCGTGCTCCTGTTCGGCGGACTCGGCTGCCAGCTTGAGGCGATGCCTCTCCGCATCGAGCTCCCTGGCCTTCTCAGCCAGTCGGACAGTCTCCTGCTCTAGGTGTCGGCTCTGCTGCAGCTGCTGGCCCTCGCTGGCGGCATCCCTAGTGCTGCCACCGGCGCTGCCGGAGACTGCGGGAGTCGCCGCGGCTCGAGCATGAGACGGATCCGTTCCAACGCGCGGCTGCTCGTGGTGCACCGCGGTTTGCAACGTGTTGTTCTGGGATTCGTCAGCGGCGTCATTCTTATCAGTCTCCCCACCGCCCCCACCGCGGCGCCTTTCCGACTCGTGGTGCTCGGCCGACGGCTGGGCCTCTCGCTCCCTGAGCCGGTCGTACGCAGTCTCCAGCCTCAGCGCCTGCTCCCTCATGGCGCTTGCTTGCTCGGCTAGAGCGTTGGACCACTCCTCGAGCTGCCGCTCTCGCGTTTCCACGTCCACGCCGGCGCGCGACCCGCCTTGCAAGCGCGCACCGGACGGCCCTGTGTTGGCTTCCCGGTTCTCGCCCAGCCCATCGCCGGTACCAGCACCACCCCAGTTGACGCCTCCGCCGCCGCGGGAAGACGACGCAGACGCTTCGAGGATGGACGAGCCGAGCGCGAGCGACTGCAAGCCGGGAACCGCCCATCCCTGCCCTTCTGAAACTGCAAGGGAAAAATCGTCCACAGCAGGTGGTGCCTGCTGTTGCTTGCCCACAGTGGTGGCAGGCGACCTTGGCGCGGCCCCCTTGTTTCGCACCGACGACGATGATGCTTGCCTTCGAGAAGCCGCCAGAGAAAGCTCCGCCGCCGCAGATATTGCCTCTTCCCGAGTTGACAGCTCCGCGCCGCGAGTCCTCAACGCGGCTTCAAGCTGTGCAGCGGCGGCCTCTCGTTGTTCGGCCCTTTCGTGGCGGAACTCGGCCTGTCGCATGCGGTTCTCGGCCTCCTGGAAAAGGGCGTTGGCGCTGCTATTGCTGTTGTTGCTTCCGAGAGCGTTCTGCGCCACGGTTCTGCCATCATTAAGGTAAGATAAAAACCACACAGTGGGAATTAAACATTCGAACAGACATGGGGTCAGCGCTGAACCGGCAGGGGGGTGGGTACATGTGCCAGTTCACCGGGTGTGCTCAGCCGAAGATCGTTCCTAGGCCTCGCCATGTTGGAACACGCTTGTGTCTTTGAGTTCGCTGCGTCCGCTACACCCGTCCGGACGTTTGGAAGAGCTGCGGTGGAGGTACGGGTCAACAACCCCTAGCATGCATGGCATCCGCTTGAACGTTTGCTACCTTTGCTCCAAGAGGGCGGCCATTTGATCCTGCAGAGCTCTGGCCTCTTTCTCGAGCGCCGCTTTTTGCAAAGACAGCGCCTGCCGCTCACGATCCACCTCCCGTCTGCCAAAACAATTCCAATTCGCGGCCATAGAGACAGGGTAAGGGTCATAGACTTTACAGCCGGTGAAGTGAACGAAATTTTTCTGCATCCTCGTGCTGCAAAAGCGTTGGAGGAAAAAGCAACACTGGTCGCGAAGCAGAAAAAAACTTTGGCTGCACGTGCTCCACGGCGGCAACCGTCGTGTAGCCAGAGTCTGGAATCCCTTTGGCTGGCCGCACCTGTCGCTCTCTCTTCGACGGTCTTGCTCCGCGCCGTGACGCTCTCTTTCCCTCGCCCTTCGCATCAACGACTCCGCCTCCGCGGTCTGCAGCATCCAGGACAACACCAAAGGCAACATCAAAGTAAACACCACAGGCAACATCAAGGACAGCTTCACGGACAACCAAACAAAGCATCCGTGACAACATCATAGACAACGTCGATGACAACAGAAAATACGGCAATAATGACTCCATGCGGGTGAGGGAATAGACTGCAACGCGTTGCAAAATTGAGCACAAGCCTAGTGGCACCGACGCGCTCCTTCTGAACTCTCCTCTGGCAGTCCCCACCTCTTAGAGTTGTCGCGAAACTAAAGTCCAGTCATGGGCACCAGGCACACCACATAATAGCAATAAACACAAACATACCGTTACATACAGATAGTGAATTCCAACGTAACTACGGACAAATCCAAGTCTTTTCTGCCGGTCCCCCGTTTGACGAACCAATCCTGGAATCTATTGCTCGCCTTCGCCATCCCCCTTACTGCACTACAATATCAAATGTCCGCACTGTATTCTTAAATGGACTGCATACTTAAAGGTCCCGCACACCGGGTCAAACTAACTTGTCCTTCGGGTGTAGTTAGCTACCATTTTCGGAGAGGAGGCTGCCTTCGGACAAAATTTCCTCTCTCCCTCGCCTCTCTCCTCTCTCTCTCTCTCTCTCTCTCTCTCTCTCTCTCTCTCTCTCTCTCTTTCTCTCTCTGTTCCTCTGACATAGAATGGAGGAAAAGGACAACAGCTGCAACGGACTTCCAAAGCCTCGACGTACCTTCCTCGCAGCAGCCTCAGCCTCGGCCCTGGAGTTCCTGATCTTGGAGGCCAGCTCGCCTTTTTCCCTTGCCAGGGCCTTCCTCGCCGTTGCTAGCTCAGCTCTCGCCGCCTTGTTCTCAGCATCGAGGTTAGCAGCGGCGTTCTTGTAGCGGGTGTCTAGAGCTTTCTCCTCGCTTTCCAAGGCTTTGCGTCGCTCGTCTAACTCGACCTGGTGAAAGGGACCGCGACAGAAACACTCCATCAGCGTCGACCGGGACAGACAAACAGCCGAATTGGGGGCCTTGCCAAAACATGCACATCATCCTCGACTGTTTGTGGCGAAGATGTGAGCAAGCGTTTAAAGCACGGCGAACGTTTGAGCTATGGGAACGGTTCCGCCGGTTAAAAAACCGCCGACACACCACACAATACGGTGGGCTCCATTCAATTCAAGCTGTGCCCAACCACCCACACAGCCAACACATGACACGCGCAACTGGCACAACTGGCACAACTGGCACAACTGGGGCTTGACACCACACAACATCTATTACATGCCATACAGTGTGTCCCAAACCCCAACCCCGGCCAACCCTCAAGTCAGACCAGACCGCGCCGCAATGGCACATGCCATCGTACCCCACGGCAGCCTTATCGTGCCGGTAATACGTATCTCTCCGGCGGTATCCCGCCTCAACCCATCCCATCCCATCCCGTCCCATCCCATCCCATCCCCACTTTGCGATCCGCAGCAACCCTGTACCTTGCCCGCTTGCAGCCTCCGCTTGTGCTTCTCCAGGTTACTTCTCTCTTGCTGGACCACCTTCGCCTCCGCAGACACTCGCTCCTCCACACCACCGATGCTGACCGCTAGACGAGAAGCCTCGGAAGACATCTGTAGGACATGACATGACATGACATGAATATCGTTGTGGGCGGATTTTGCCGCAAGAACGGAGGGAGCAGCCAGACGGGTGTCGTATTTTCCATGAGTTCGGGCGCGAGACAGCAGACGCCACCCAACGACGGCAGGCTGCTACTTTCAAAACAAGCGAGTTGCACAACATATTAGCCCAACCATTCTAAGGCGTGGACAATTTTCCCGACTACCTGCATGGGTTAAACCAACAGGCCCAGTTCTTGCTGTTCCCCCTGTAGTTTTCCCACCTACAGATGTATTCCCAACAAGTTTGCACTCACCCGGCGACCCTCACCTAGACTGATAGACTGATCAAGCCACATGCGAGCCCAGCTTTTTAGTGGCAATGCGGGGCCAGCAGTCGACAACGAGTTGATTTTCGCGGATCTGCCCGTCACGTCACGCAGCGCTAGCCGAAAACAATCATCCTAACGCTTCGAGACGTACTCGCTTCTTCGGCGCATGGCTATTCCCCCTGCCCGTCCTCTCGATGTCGTTGGATGCGTCCCTATTCGGAGTAGAGCTGCCAAGACTAAATAACTCAAAATTAGACCAAGAGATCACACGATGGTAATCTCCGGCCGGTTGGATAACAAACACAACAAACCAAATTGAACACGGATATGAGGAGGCTGTGCTACAGCAAGAAACCAGACAATAAGGCGGCAACAACGTTACAGCAGGGGCAGCCACTGACCCGATCGCGCGTCTGTTCTAGCTCTTGCTGCTCCCCCTCGAGCCACTTCTCACGCTCCTGTACACGTCGCTCAGCTCGCAACAGGGTCGCCGCGCGCTCCCGGTTAGTGTGCACCTCGGACTTTTGATCAGTGACGACAGCGACGAAATCACAAACAAGATCCAATCACACCACTGAACGTTTTCCTTGGATAATTGAACTTCGACAGTCCGTCGGTAGAGTAGGGGGTAAGCTATGGTATCCCATCCCAATTGTCACATCAACATCATGTGTTTGCCTCGTTGAGGGTAAACAAAAAAGTGCATCCTATATCTATGTTTTCCTAGATCACGACGAGAAAGTGCCTAAGACGACCACAAAAGGTGTTCCAATTATGCCCCGACATCGAGATGTTGCACCACGGCCCGCGAAGTCAGAACTTCAAGTTAAAAATATACGAGCCCATGATCCCATGATGTTGAAGGCGGCATGACGAAAGGAAACATTGGGCTCATTATCAAGTCGGCGAGACTCGCCTACACTTGTGAAGTACAAGGAGATCGTGAAAGGCATTACAAACGTACGTACGGTCCACAAGGCACCGTGTGTTTTTCGTGTCCGCTGTACCAGTACGTGCTACCGTCCGTGCCGCCTGACTCGATCAAGTGTCACCTGCGCTGCTTCCAGTTCCGACTCCAGGCGAGCAGCGTCTTGGGTAAGCTTCTCCGCTGCAGCGTTAAACCTTCCCAACATCGAGCATCCGGCCGCAGCGCACATCGCAGGGTACAAGGAAGTTCGATACAATGTATCAGGCCCATTTCCGACAATACTACTGAGGACGTGCGGTAGAAGTTGTAGCCGAGAAACAACACGTACTTCTCAGGGCTCAAGACGCACGTCACTGTGACCCCACCGGGAGTAGCTTCGCGGATGCAATCACAGTGCCAAATCTTACCGAAGGTCAAGGCGAAAGGGTCGAAACCCTGGTGGGAGCAAACGTCCAAGTACAACAGAAGACATGCCCCCCCTTCTTCCCCTTTCGAGCTTCTGGCAATGGCGCATTTGTCACTGTGCTCCCGTTCCCCCCGACAATCACGGCGTGCCGTCAGCCCTTTGTAGACCGTGAGCAGTGAACAGTGCCCCCATGTGAATCAAGTTGACCCGTTGTGTCTGATTTGTTATCAATGGTGTTCGAAACAGAAAAACAAAACATATCCTAGCGGTTGCGTAGTCAGCCCCTCGGACTCGCAATAAGCTGTAGAATCATTCTTGTTGTACCGCATTGCTCAACCACAAACCCCTGCCACACCCGCCCCTCGATCAACAAGGTCAACCAGACTACTTCTTCGCATGGGAAAGCCGCATCATCTAGCAGTTCTTCTTGTTGCCCTCGAGTCCACCCTGTTCTTGTTCCGCTTCACAGGAAAGGAGAGCGCCAAACCATGAACTGCATAACGCCGTACCGTATCGAATCGTATCGAATCGAATCGAATCGAATCGTACTTCACTAAACCTAACGATACTTAACGCCTTCACGCGAACCGAAGCCAATCCAAAGCGTCTACGTACCTCTTCTCGCGCTCGTCGGCCTCCTCTTTTTTCCGCGTCAAATCCTTGGACAGGTCAGAAAGCCTCCTTGCCTCTGCGGAAACCCTACCCTCCGCCTCCGAAACGCTCGCCTCCCTGCCGGACAACGCCTGCTGCTTCTCGAACACCCGCCTCTCCTTCTCGGACACGTCCATCTCCTTGTTCGAGACCCCCACCTCTTTTTTCGAAACCCTCTCCTCCTTCGCGACAATTTGTTTCTCGGCCTGAGCGAGCTGCTGCTCCCTGGCCGTCAAGGACTTGGCCTTGCTCGTCACCTCTCGTTCTTGAGCGACAAGGATCTCGCGAAGGCTGAAAATCGGGAACAGTTGGTCCGACAAGGGGTGTGCAGAAGATTCGTTTTACAGGGCAAACTCGGCTCTCCACAAACGATCAGTAGCACTACTCTTCTCGACAAGGTGAAGGGCGGGGGGAGGTAGCAAGGCACGTCAAGGCAATATGAGGGGCAAGGGGCCTTGACGTCTGTGTACCCCGTCACTCTCACCGGTAGAGACAAGCAAACACTCACCGGCGAACAGAGCACGCTGAAGGCAAAAAAGTCGGCAACGGCAAGGCTAGTACTACTCGCCACGCTCGAAAGAAGGAGGGTCGACCAAGGGTCGCTGCGAGCGTTTTCATGAGCCTTCCGGGCTGCTCGATCGGTTATAGGCGGTAGCATCGGCATTGACACTCATTGCTAGGCAAAAGAACACGACCTCCTGACGACATCCGAAACTTACCTCAAGCAGCTTCAAAGGTCCTCTTTGCGCTGCTCGCTGTTCCACACGAGGAACGCTAGTTGTTGAAACTCAAACAATTGTAACTTGACAAGTGACGACCTTTCGTTCACGCATACGCTTTACTACACAACTCTCCGCTACCGTGCCATGGAAATAGCAAGGTGCTTGCCTTTCGATCTCTTTGCGGACGCCTTGCGCCTCCTCCGTGGCCCTTCTCGCCGCATCCTCCCTTGCCGATAACGCCTCATCACGGATCGACAACTCCTCTTCGCGCTCTGTTAGCCGCCTAGACGTTCCCAACCACAATTGTAAACATCAAGCACCCGGTGAAGGAAAGGACGCGCACGCACCCGACATGGAAGTAAGCTAGGGAGGCGAGAATGACTCGCAATAGCTTGAGTCTTGAGTGGACACGTATTGCCGGGGTGTAGTGCAAGCTGGGTTCAAGGCATGCTCCAGGCTGCCCGGGCAAGGCGTTGGGAGCGCGGGTACCGCTGGGGGAGAGCTACAGCGTTTCTTTCTGACGAGTCTCGCAAGGAATTTGAAACGTCGGTGTAAATCGATAAAGTTGGGAGCTTGGTGCCTAGCTGAATCAACTAACACCATGCAATGTCTCCTGGACAGCGTACTGATCTACCTGGGAGCCAGGCCACTGCTGTAGCTGTCTTTTGCAACGGTTGTGTTGATGGTAATGGAGTTGCTGTAGTCGCAGCTAATGCCACTTGCCAAACCCGTGAGACTCCGCACCGTGACCGAACCAGAAGAAGGCAGGAGACGAACTGCAGCAGGTGAAAAAAAAAACACAAGGCACGGCAACCAACCACACACAATAAACAAGCCAGTCGCACCTCCGAGTCTTGTCCATGGACTTTGCCATGCTTCTGGCTTCCGCTCCCTTCTCTGCTACCCTTGCCCTCTCTTCGCCAAGTGCCCTCCTCTCCTGTTCGAGGGTCTTCTTGGCATCCTCGAGCCTGGCCATCTCGGTCTGTTTCTTCCGGTCGATCTGGTCAGACCGCTGCTTCTGTGCCGAGCGCCTGAGCCTATCGCTCTCCTCCAGACGGCTCTCGGCCCTGCGTCAATCCACATTCCATATTGTCGTTGCGTGCATTATATCATGGTACTACGTCTCCCTTCTTCCCCTCGCTCCTCGACAAGCTTTTGCTTAGACATGGGTTGTAGTGAAGGGGGGGGTCTTTCTGGCGAGCAGGGCTAGACTCACCCTCAAGGGATGACCGAAACCTTCTTGCTGCTGCGCATATCCGCCGCGAGGCATGCGCGTGGTGGTGTAGTTGGGTCGGCACTGATGGGGTCAG